CCTGAATCCAAGTGTCTTTATTACGGAACTGTACACACTTCTTTTTGCCTTAAAACACATACTTACACCCTTCTTCCTCTTTCACTAAATTTACTGACTCCCGTAACTCATTAACTCTCATAAAATCTATGCACTCGACCAATCCCCTTGTAAGATCCAGAACTGGTTGTTCTGCTTGTCCACAAGCCATAAATCTATTAGATTTTGTTGGGTGCCCAGCCATGTTAGAATCCCCAGGAATAGGCAGATACTCTAGCATGCTATGCTACTATATCCACATCACACCAACCACGTTTCTCACGTATTCCAACCACGGATTATTACCCCCACTTTAAAACCTTCCTGTATACCCGATGGCAATCTTTCTGGTCAAGTCTCCGCACTAATAAATTACATACTGTAAAACTATCAATCTCCTCTTGGTCGGCTCCATTTCATTGGAACAGACATTGGGAGACAGCTCTCGCACGCTTACATATTGGACACACCCGTCTGTTGTCCTGTCCATGCTTTGCTGCAGCTTGAACCTGCTTTCCACCACCTATCCTCCCTTCACCGACCTCCCAACATATCAGACATCCTTACAGAATCTCACATTTTCTGCTTTGACAACCTGTTCTCCTTCCTCAGATGCATACATATCCTTCACTTGACCTAATCCCCTTAACTAATCCTACCTTAACACATTCACTCATCAACTCCTTTACCCATCTTTAACCTTTTCAATACTACTGTAGATAGTTGACACAACAAAAATTCAACAACCCAATACTGTACTGCACCTTCCTATATGACCTTAGATGTCTAGCACATTTATTTTGCTGTTAATATTAACATTTACATTAACATTCACTAATACACCTTTCTGTAGTGCTATATGACCTTTGATTTAATAATTTTATGTGCTTGATGAACACACATCAGTGCATGAATAAGATACTTGTATCAATATTAAACTGTATTGAGTTTTATTTTTTTAGTATGAAACCAATCAAAATTTGAACAAGCATTTTGTTTTACAAATATTCACTTGAACAACTTTACAGGATAGTAAAAGTCAAATGATCTTTTGAAGCATTTACTTTTATAGAACTTTTTTCTTAAAACTCTTGTCTACTGTCAAACCAATTCTACATAAAACAGCAAGTCAGGATGAACAATGCTTTTATTTTATATCAGTATAGTAGTACATTTTGCAAATCTAAAAAAATACATTTTCTCAAAAAAATAATTTTCTTACATAAACAAAAACAAAAACAAAAAAATAATAATGATAATCAGCAAGTAAGAATCAACTCCAGAAACACTGAAAATAGCCAGACGTATTTTTCCCTAAATCATCTCTAAGTATAATAGTTTCTCCTATGTTGGCATGGGTTTTAATTCAATTTATGATATTTTGGCGAGTTAATTTAATCTCAATGGATAATAGAATCTGAGTCCAATGAGAATTTGGTCACCATACTTCTACAATAAATACAATTTAACTGAAGAACCAATATTCAAGTTAATGGGAGAAACACCCAAAATATAAGAAAATAATATAAATAATTTCCATCAGCAAATATCAAGTGCATTTTACAAACATCCTACAAAACACAGCCTGCAATAATGACACAAATGGTATTAACAAGCTATGGGCAATGCTTGTACTTGTCTACAATAAATTTAAAAACGGCTTATAAATACTGCATCCGTATTACATTGCAATGGCAGGTAATGAAAATGCCCATTTTTCATTATATAAACATTTATGGAGGTAGCACATATTTTTTTTCTTCAACTAGCACTGTAAAGGCTTTCATTATTAATCATGGTTGTAAGATTAGGTTAATACCAATATTTCTTAGAACAGGCACCAGCATAAAACAGCAGCATTCACAACCTATATTATGCTTAATATAACTGGCCTCATATGTTATCCACCTTTCAGTGTACAACCTACTGCAGAAACACTTAAATAGCAACCATAAAAGGTAGACATTACTGTACTCCATACATGGATAGTACTGCACACCTCAGTTTGGTCCATTACACAGCTACTATCTGAGACCAACCTCAGAATAATTTTTTGTAAGTTCTTAATGCTAAAAGAATCTGAATGAAAATATCTTTAGTAGAGTCACAGTCAAAAGCCTACTGAATTATATCTCATTCCAGGAATGCATTACACAACTAAAATGCTTGCAAAGGAATCTAATGATACTATCTGGAGATGCATATCACAAAGTGCAAACAATAGTCACTTCCCACTTACTGGCAGTGAAGTGGCATTGGCCCATCATTACTACCTATTAAAACACACATGTTAAGGAAAAAAAGTGAAAAAAATAATCTGAAAATCTGACTAAAATCCTAACATATAGACTACATAAAATGCCATATGGATCAGTTTAACTTACATACATACTTATCAGTGTATTACATGTATCTATTACAAACATGACCCTGCTATTTGTCACCGTTTTCATGTATAAAGACTGTTATAAGTAAGTACTTTTCAATGAGAACACAAAAGTTTATATCACAAAATTTTACTAATTAATGCTGCCAAAATTCAGACTGGACATTCGAAACCTCTGTTTTTGAAACGTCTTTTTCTTTAGAGAGCTAATCAAATGCATTATTTTTGAACCAGAGCTCTAAATAAATAAAACACAAAATTGTGTCCCTTTAATGTGGCTGTCATTATTTGCTGCTCTTTTCCTCTATGACTGGTAGAATGAACTTCCTCAGTTCACTATATGCTTTCTCCACTACATCATTGACAATGATCTTGTCGAAGTTGCCAGGCACCGCTCCGTACTCTAGCTCTCGCTGTGCCGTGTTCAGCCGCTTAGCCAGGCTCTCCTCCGTCTCCGTCCCACGGGCTCGCAATCTCTTCTCAAGATCCTGATTTGATTAAATCAAAGTATTAAAAACCATTAAAAAGTTTTCTCGGTTAATTTAATTACTCTGGAGAATCAATTCAGCATATTTTCAAAATAGTAGCAAAACCAAGATCAATTATTTTATTGAAAAAAATCTAAAACCCTGATCCCTGATTTCGTTGAATAGTAAGAATGCGTACGTCAATATATCTACAACTTATTTCAAAATGAATTCTTATCCATATGAGCTGTACTAATCCATAGCAAAGCCCATGTATAATGTAAATATAATACATTATGCTAACAATGCTGAAAATAAACATTTTAAGTACTTCAAGAAACTCGTAATACTTGACCGATATATCCAATTTAAAAGTTTGTTATTTCGTTGAAGTGATGTGAAACCAAACCGATATATCCAATTTAAAAGTTTGTTATTTCGTTGAAGTGATGTAAAACCAAACCAACTCACTATCAACATTCTCAAACCACATCTAAGTAATGCCGTTCTGTTAAACCTGCTTTCATTAATTGTAAATAGATCAGTAAAAAAAAAAAAAACATTCAGACAAGGGGCCGAATCCCTCCCTCAACTCACCTCAAGTGAAGGAGGTTTGATAAAAACATAATGCGGTTTGAGATCTGTTTTCTTAACCTGCATGACCCCCTGTGTGTCAATGTCCAAGATGCAGATTCGCCCACTGGCCAGCACGTCCTGTACAGCCTTCTTGCTGGTGCCGTACATGTTGCCTACAGAAAGGAGCACAGTCATGAGTGCGTTGTGTTTTACGTGCATCTGAGTGAACTGATTGGAAAACAAGTGTCTCTCTTTCTCGTTGGATGGTGCGAGAGGGAAATCTTTTTTTTTTTTTTTTTTGAGGGAAAGATTGATGCATTGTAGGATACGAAATAAAGAATATAAAGGAAAGTCCAATATCTGCAGTGAGACTACGAACTACTAATCTATTCAACTGTGATATTACGAACACGAAAGAATATATATATATAAAAAAAACAAATATGAAGATTTGTGCAACATAAAAATTTTGACTTTTGAATCATCAACCTAAGGAGAAAATCTAAGTAACACAACTATAAATCATCACCGATTCAACCCAAGAAAATCGTGAAGAAAATCGAAAAAAACTCCCTTTTCAACCAACCTGAGAAGACGGCGTTCTCAATGAACTCCCCAGCGCCGATGGCCCTCTCCATCTCCTGGCGGGAGACGAAGTAGTAGTGTTTGCCGTGCTCCTCGCCGGGCCGCGGGGACCGTGTGGTGTGCGACACGGAGAACCCGAAGTGGGGGCCGTACTCGTCCAGCAGCAGTTTCAGGAGGGTCGACTTACCGGCACCTGGTGACATAGAAATGGGGGAATCGTTCCAATGAGATGGTTTATCTAATCCATCCTACTCATAATAATACAACTTTTATAACTCACTAAAAGATGGCAATATATCTTTTCCTATTACCCACTCCCCCCTCATTAGGACAAACAAAGAGTGCAGCACTTATCGCAACAGTAAGTGCAAATCCACAGCACATCAAAATCATCTGAAGTTAATCCACTCTATGCTTATACATATATTTGTGTCAAGAAGTATCAAAATCGCTTGATTACGAACGTTAAAAATCAGATTTGCAAAACCGAAGACCTCTCAAATGGGCCATTGACGTCCTTATATTTGCATATTCGCGTCAACAATTACCAGGTGCGCTCGCTAACGAACGTCAGCGATCAGATGCGCTGATATTTACAAGGAGAAAGACGTCTCAGGTGCGCCAATGATGGGCTTTCCGACCTCAGGAGGGGGAGAGCGAAGAAGCCATACACACTGACACCGACAAAAAATCCCGTCACAATTTCAAGATGAAAACGGTTAAACGACCCAGTTCGCCCTCACGTTCATTCACATTCCCATTAAAAAAAAAAAAAAAAAAAAAAAAAAAAAAAAAAACGAAAGTAAAAAATAATAATACGTAACCTAGCAACTCCCTTCCCTTCCTCCCCTTAAGTACATCATCCTGTCAACCAATCAATCAATCAGACTCACCTGAAGGCCCGCAAAGGACGAGGGGGCGAGGAGCCATCGCTGCGACTCTGTGCGCCAAACGAGTACTTATCAAAC